AACGAACAATGCTGCCAGCAGCATTGTTCGTTCGTGGCTACATTTTAAAGAGGAACTTCCTTTACTAAGCGAAATTAAAATACTACGTCATATAAAAGTCGATAGAAATAGCGTCATCACTGTCGTTGGGTTTGCAGACGCTAGCGAGAAGACTTATGGGGGCGTTGTATATTTTCACGTCCAGATTAATGGTAGAAATTTCATCAGCCTCATTATCATCATCATCATCATCATTACAGCCCTTCACAAGTCCACTGCTGAACATAGGCCTCCCCCAAGTAATGCCACAAAGCACGGTCCTGAGCCACCTGCATCCATCGACTTCCTGCATGTCTTACCAGGTCGTCACTCCATCTAGTGGGGGGTCGCCCTACACTACGCCTACCGGTACGAGGCTGCCACTCGAGAACCTTTCTTCCCCATCGGTTATCGGTTCTTCGAGCTATATGGCCGGCCCATTGCCACTTCAGCTTACTAATCCGTTGGGCTATGTCGGTCACTCTGGTTTTACTGCGGATATCCTCATTTCTGAGTCTATCACGCAGAGAAACTCCGAGCATAGCCCTCTCCATAGCTCGCTGAGCGACTTTAAGCGTCCTCATACGGCCAGCGGTGAAGGACCACGTCTCAGATCCGTAAGTCATCACTGGCAACACGCACTGGTTGTACAATCTAGTTTTTAGAGATTGAGGTATACCTGACGAAAAGATATGCCGTAATTTCCCGAACGCTGCCCAGCCGAGTTGAATCCGTCGATTGACCTCTCGGTCGAAGTTGGACTTACCTAGTCGGACTATTTGTCCCAGGTAAACGTACTCGTCAACAACTTCGAGCATAGTGCTCCCAACAACTACCGGCATAGGTGTGACATGGACATTGAACATGATCTTTGTTTTGTCCATGTTCATCTTAAGACCTATCCGTTGGGAGGCACTATTGAGGTCATTGAGCATAGTGCTTAAGTCCTCCAGCGATTCTGCCATAAGGACTATATCGTCGGCAAATCGAAGGTGAGTGATGTACTCGCCATTGATGTCAATACCGTATCCTTTCCAGTCCAGTAGCTTGAAAACGTCTTCCAATGCAGCGGTGAAGAGTTTCGGGGATATAACGTCACCCTGTCTTACACCTCTCTGCAGTTGGATAGGTTTCGAGCTCTGGTTCTGTACTCGGATAGCCATCGTAGCCCTACTGTACAAACACTTCAGCACTTCGATATACCGACAGTCAACTTGGCACCGCTGAAGGGACTGTAGCACCGCCCAAATTTCGACGGAATCAAAGGCTTTCTCATAGTCCACATACGCCAGGCAAAGTGGCAGATTGTACTCTTCAGTCTTCTGTACAATCTGCCGCAGGGTATGTATGTGGTCTATGGTACTGAAGCCTTTTCGGAAACCGGCTTGTTCGGGAGGCTGGAAGTCGTCAAGTCTGCGTGCGAGACGATTCGTAATGACTCTCGAAAACAGCACGTAGACGCGGCTCAGAAGGGAAATCGGTCTGTAGTTCTTTAAGAGAGCGTTGTCGCCTTTCTTAAAGAACAAGACCACCGCACTTCTGCTCCACGCCTCTGGAGTAGTGCCACCATGGAGGACGGAATTGAAGAGCTTCTGAAGGACTTCAAGTACCGGTGTTCCACCCGCTTTCAGAAGCTCCGCTGTAATTCCATCCTCGCCTGGGGCCCTGCCGTTTTTAAGGTGCTGGAGAGCCATTCTAATCTCGCTTATTCTCTTAGCCTCATTAGCTCTGAGTCAAAGGTCTCCCCCCGTAAGGTTGTCTCTCTCGCGCGCTTAGAGCTTTGCGCGATATTAGTCCTTGCCAAGCTTATCACCGCAGTTACCAGTGCATGTAGTGATAGAGTTCACATAGAAAGAATATTTGCCTTTTCTGACTCAAGTCCGTCGCTTTATGTTGGGTTCATTCTTCACCCCAGTTGGGAGTTTTGGGTGCCAGATCCAAGACGAGTTAGGATCACGGAACTTTTATCACGTGTCCGGTACGGAAAACCCTGCCGATTGTCTATCCCGTGGACTCACCCCGATACAAATAATGGACCACCCGCCTTGGTTCCACGGACCTTCTTGGGTTCACTTGGAACCTTAGCAGTGGCCAATAACCGATTTCGACCCTTCGTCAGTGTCCCAACCATCGGAAGAGAAGAGGCACGCTCTGGTTGCGAACGTTTCGAGCGAGGTTTCTCCAATCATTGCTTTGGCGAACCGTTTATCCTCTTGGTCGAAATTATTGCATAGCGTGATTTACGTTTTTCGATTCGCAAAGCTTCTACCGCGACGTTTGTATATCGTAGCGTCCGATTACAGCTATACCGAGTTGCTAGTATTGCGTGAACTTCAACGTGCGCATTTTTCCGATGAATATAAGATCCACAAAAGCTTATGTCTGCATTTTCTTATGTCTGACTACTCGGGCTGTGCATATAGAACTCGTTGGTGATCTAAGCACAGCGGGCTTCATGGGTGCATTTAAAAGATTTCTTTCCCGCCGTGGCCCTGTAAGTAAAGTTCGGATAACGGTACAAACTTCGTCGGCGCGAAACGTATTTTATCAGAACTACATGAGCTTTTAACCAGTAAATATTATAATTCGGAGTTCGCACACATCCTAGCCGAGAACCGCATCGAGTGGTCTCTGAACGTCCCGGCCGCGAGCCATTTTGGGGGAAATTGGGAGACTAATATTAAGAGTCTAAAGAGTCATTTATACCGAGTAATAGGAGATCAAATTTTGTCCTTCGAAGAGTTAAGTACTGTGCTCGCTCAAATTGAGTGCGTCATGAACAGTCGCCCCCTTTGTCGTACGTTGTCATGTGACCCCTCGGAGCCGCTGCCTCTAACTCCAGCACATTTTTTGAATTTAACGCCTTTGAAATATCTGCCCGCCATAGACATGGACGAGAACAAACTTAGTATTTCTGCACGCCATAAATTATTGGACCGGTTGGTGCAGTCGTTTTGGAAACAATGGAAGATGGAATACTTGCATACGTTGCAGTCTCGGCAAAATTGGAACACAACAACTAACCTTTAACTGTCGGAACTGTGGTTGTGCTCACCAAGGAGAATACGCCGCCTCTCCATTGGCCATTAGGGATCGTCGAAGAAGTTTTTCCCGGTTCCGACGAGGTAACTAGGGTAGCTCGCGTTAGAACCACGACTGGGTCTTACGTGCGCCCTGTTGTCCGTTTGTGCCCTTTGCCCATTCAGTAGTTTGAATTAACTTTCTAGATTAGAAATTGTAGTCGAAAATTAGGTTTAATCTTAGCGTTAGTTATTTTGAAGGGGACCCTTCAAGCCGGGGGGGGATGGTTACGCGGAAACGATTTGTGTATTTTAATTTTGTTCGAGGGTATATTTGCCAAGTGTTTATCCATCCTTTGACCTCATGTCCCTTCCGTACACACTGAAAGGGGAGGGGAGGGGTCTAGAAGGTGACGCGATTCTTTCGACCAATGAGACGCGCGCCCGACTGAGGTGCATTGGTGGGAAAGCCGAGGCAATATAGGCTCGCGCGCTGCCCTGGAGCAGCCTCTTGCCTTCGCGTCGCTAGTCTGAACCGCATCACCTGGGACAGTCGCGCCCCAGAAGTAACCGCCTCACATAATGTGAGATATCGTCGCGTACCGCTGTCTTCCTTCGTACCGCTAGCCTGGAACGCATCTCTGGGGCGCCCCAGAAGAACCCACCTCACGTCGCATCACCGCTACGGAAGCGTCGTCCGCCGCATTAGAATCACACCCCGGTAAGTGTGTTTCCTGTAATTTTGCTCCTACTTGAGCATTTTGTTTGTTAGTTAACCCGCCCCATTTTGTTTCTCCTATAGTGCTCAAGTAGCAGAGCCGTGGTAGCTCAGTGGTTAACGCTCGCTGAAAATATAACAGAACGCGAGTAACCCGGGTTCGATCCCCGCCGGCACCAATGAAATTGTTAATTGCAATTTTAAGTGCTGATTTACCACGTGCTCGGCAGTGAAGGAAAACATCGTGAGGAAACCTGCATGTCTGAGGAATAAGAAAAAAAAATATTTCGAAGACATGTGAAGTTCGTCAACACGCATTTGGGCAGCGCGGCGGACACTTCCTTGCCCTAAACCCTCTCAGAAATGAGGGGAGGCCTGAGCCCTGCAGTGGGACGTATATAGGCTGTAACTTTACTTTACTTAATGTGCTCAAGTAGAATTCCATCCTAGCCTTGGCAAGCAATAGATTTGGAAGAGCGAGTGCATTGTCCAAGGTTGCCGAGTGCCACGTCCGCCATCTTGTTGAGGCGTAAGTAGCCAACCGCGTATACAGTCCACCTAGTATAACATCTCGTGCAATAGGGTCAAGGCTCGACCTGGGAATCGAATTCGGGAACCCCTAGGCCCGCCGCCCAACCACAATAGATGCTTTGAACAATATAAGCTTTCCTGTAAGATTTACACAAGTGCTAATGTATATTCGGTTATGTATAGGGGTAAGATATATTTTTTTCTGTATCGACCTTTCAAAGTTCACTACTAGACATTATTATATTCTTGGCTCCTCAACTTTGACGCTGCTCCCGGTTGCTGGTGTAGGTACTTTACGTGTGACGTTAACGAGTTGATCCATCTATCGGAAGCCATTAGATTTTCATATTATTTCTCATAATCGCTTCTGACACCCACAGGACGGAACAGTGTGATAGATTCACTCACACCGCCACAGAAAGATGCATGGGAAACTAATCCAAGCAACTACTGAAATTGACGAAGGTAGCTGAATGGCAGATTCGAACACACAACTTTGTTGTCTATATCTATAATCTATGTGACGTTTGAGAATAAATTATAAACAAATTATTATAAAATATGTCAATGGTAATGTACGAACAATAAACACATTACTGCGTTCCGCATGCTTTCGGCAAGCTTTAGAAACTGAGGGTTAGTCCGGCAAATTTGCACAATTTGCTCGGTCTAGTTCAAAACGCCATTGAAATAAAAACATTAATTTGTTGCAGGATTTAATAGCATAGACAGTATACGAGGTATACGTCCTAATGGCGTGTTCTATAGGCAAAATGAGGAATTGGATATCATCAGAGAGTTAGGAAATCTTACCAAGCAATACTCTGACGCAAAAGCCAGAATCATTGGTAAGTTTGAAAAAAAAGGTAAAAACACGAGTTTGCCACACGTATAGTGTAACATGAAGAAACTCACACACATGCACACGCGCGCACATGCGCACACACGCACACACACGCGCACGCACGCGCACACACGCGCACACATACGTACGCGCGCACGCGCCCACGCGCACGCACACACTCACACACACACACACACACACACACACACACATACCAAAAAGTTTAAATGAGAGTGTATCAGGGGTGAGCATGCCCACCCTCACAATACTTGTAGTGAAAAATAATAATAAATATATTTAGTTATACACAGGCTGTACATATACAAGACATTAATATTGAGCAATGCTGGGTGAAATGATTTATCCTGAACCTAATTTCTTTTTTTAGGTACCGGGCCCTCTGACAGAAGTCTCCGATACATTGATGAGGAATTGCCTACAGAATTGAATAATTCTCTTAGAAACATCATTGGCGGGGTAGTTGATGAAGCCAGTGATGATAGTGGTATGTACTGTTTGTTTAGTGTTTTGCATTACATTTAATTTTATGATTAATTAAATTTTTGTTTCTTTTGTATCATATTTGTGTTTATTTTTATATTGAGCAGTACTTATGTTGAAATAATATATGTGCGTAACCCTGCAGTATTTTTTGCAAACACGAAAAACAAACTGAAAGATATTAATCCAGCTTGACAGGCCAAATAGGGTTATATACGTTATTCTACTGGCTTTCGCTAAAAGAGCTGGAAGCAAACGGCACGATGACAGTATGTAAGCTCAATCGAGTGTATAGCATAATGGTCCGTAGCCGAAAGTCACAGGCACACGACACTTTTAGTTGGAAAAAGATCTTGAAAAATGTGTTTAAATGAGGCGAAAAATATTTCTTTGCGCGGCGTTGTCACTCGTGTGACTGACTTAAGATCACCGCTAGACCAGCTTTATTTATATTAAAAAGTGTAAATGTGGATTTTGTATTTTTAAAAGGAAGTGTATTGAGTAAAGCTTAATTTTAGTTTCTAAAAGTCCGTTGTATTGACTTCCTTCGTAATATCGCTCGGTCGACAACCATTGTCTTATAAAAGACGGTAACCAACCTGGTGCATCACAGTCTACGGTGGGCAATGAAGAAGCAATCAACTAGATAAATAGGTGTTGCTGTTGCTTTGCATATTCAATCTATTTTGGTGTTATCTTGTATTTTCTTCTAATGGCTTACTGTTTCATAAATGATTTGAAATGTAAAATCATTACTAAGAAATTCTATTAATTTTTATAAACCCTCAAAAAAAAATTGCATCGGCTAAAATACTCAGGACTAGCAGCGTGATGGTCAGTTACCACCGTAGACAGAGAAACCTATAGACAAATTGACGCCTTCTTTCGCATTCGCACACGAAAAATATAGATTTATGCATACGTCTTGCATAGAAATGAGATAGAGCGGTGTGTTTGTTTGTCCCTTTCTCCGTGCCGGTTTTTTTGTTTAGCAAACTACACTTTGCTAAACAACTTTAGCGATCTAAGGAGTTTACAAATTAATTTAAATTAAAAAAAGTGTTTTGTGAGCTTAAGATTGGTTAATCTTGTTCAGTTCAGTTCTTAGAACAATTAACATTTTTATCTAAATATGTTTAAAAGTCGTAAAGATTATTGTATAACCTAAAACTACGTTATCGTCCTTTCTCACTCGAGGCCACGCTAATCATTAGTCTAGGTTTCTCTGTCTACGGTTACTACAATTAATAGACCACGCGATCATTAGGATGTTAGTCGAATACCGAACAAACACGTAGCGTGTTTTTAAATTAAACTTGTTGCAACAGTTTCAGACGAAGAGGAGGTGCCAGAGCACAGAGAGGATCACCACACTATTGTCGAGGCCATAAAGGCCAAAGCGATGAGAAACACTGTCAACCCCATGAAACATCTCACTGGTATTGAAGACAGGTATACATTATATTAGCTTTCGCTACTCTTTTCATCTTTTTGACTAAAATATTATATCCCTCAAACAGCCTTCATACAAAATAAAACTTAGGAATTTTTGCTTTTCATTCATCATCAGTGATTCCCAAAAGGAAATACCATGAACAGCTCAATTGCAAAACAGTTCAAACTTAGGTGTAGACCAAGATCAGTGATAGAGTATTTATGTGCTGTTACAACCTATTAAATTCCACTGCTGATCCAAACGCATATGCCCCGGGTTGACTGGGAGAGAATGCCTAAAGGCATTAAGTGCTCGCTTTGTAATCCTTTTCATTAACGTGCATTAAAGCGTAAATAAATAAAAATAAATAAATGCATGCCTCATCTAGAGAGTGCCTGATGGGCGGGATATTTGCCACAGTTACCACGCCTGAAAAGCGAGCTGGCAACCGCAGTTTTTTTATATTGTGTTGTTTTTTCTTTGTTTCCCTTTGTCGCCTCTCATGTCACCAACGGAATGGTATAGGGTAGTGGATATTCTCACACCGCAACTACACGGTAAATTAGCAATTAATATAATGATGATGAACGTGATTTAAAATAATGACTTTTTTTTTCAGAAAAATACAAATTCAATGCAAAACACAACAAAACTCAAATAAAATTGATATTAAATCAAAACCGGGCAAAGTTAAAACGAACAGCCCCACCAAACCACAAGCTTGCAAACCGCCAAACAAACGCGTAGCATCGCCCAAAGGTAATAATACTAAAAAATCTAAATCAAACCCTGAAAAGGAGAGAGAGGTAGAGAGGATTATAAAAGAGGAAAAAGATGACAATAAAGAAGACGATGTAAACATGGAGGAATACCGTGTAGAGATATTGCCAGAAGAGAAAGACGAAATTAGTGACGGTAATGAAGAGGATTTGGAGCAGTCTGGAGAAGAGAATGAAGTTGACATAGAAATTGGGTCTTTGCCATCGTTTATAAGGACAGAGGATAATGGTCAAGTTTTTGAGATAGAAATAATCGACAAATATGGGAGAAGTCATACATCGCAAGAAGAAAACGTTGATAGAGATATAGCTCTATTAGCTAGCTTGCCGGATATTTCCATGAGTAGCGATGATACTGTAGGGGATGCTACGCTATGTTCAGATTCTGAAGAAAATGATGACGACTCAGACAACAAAGATTTCAACAATATTTTGAACACGAAACAATACCCACCACCTAATAAAAACTTAAAAAAGACACATTTGAAATCAAAATTTAAACGTTTAGGAATGTTGCCAGTTGCAAATTTCAATGAATGACATTAGTTTCTAGTCTGTGATAATGAAATAGATTTCCGTAAAAACTAGTATTATTTCAATGAAATAGATTGTTAATAAATAATAAGATTAAAAAGTTGTTTCGCTCATTCATTACCGGTCCACCCATTACAAGTCCACTGCTGAATATAGGCATCTCCCAAGGAATGTTCAAAGCACGATCTTGAGCCATCCGCATCCATCGACTTCTCGCACCTCCCATCAGATAATATTGACGCGTAATAGAGATGTTTTTGCAATGATGTAGGGTTTATTTAAGTTCTAACTGTGAACACATAAATAGCTCCAATCATTCTTTCACTACATTCTATTGCCAGTCTAATGCTTTTGTAATGTCTAATGAAATGAAAAATAAAAACAACAAAATGGCTAGTATAATGCTTCTATAATGCGATTGGCAGCTTCATTGACCATAATAATGCTTCTTTAAGCGATTGGTATTGCCATAATAATGCTTCTTTAATGTGGTTGATAACTTTGACCACAATAATGCTAGTATAAGGCGACTGTAATGCAATTAAACAACTATTGTGGACCTATTTATGACCCAAAGCCGTATAATTTGTGCCCAAATAAACATTACAGTAGGTAGCCGTATAGTTCGTAATGCTACTATAGAACTAACTCAAAATACGAAAACTATACAGATATGCTGTAATTCGGCCGTTATACTGCTTGCTTTGATATGTTACTTGGGTAATTTACCGTCCCATCGAACTATGAGTTTAACGCCTGTGCATGCACATATGCCTGGACACTATAGTCCTGTCTTGCGCTGATGGCTAGACTCCGTTAAGGCTGGCCGCCGTGCCGGAAATCGGTCTGGAGGACATTATACCGATAGTGGACTTGGCACCGCTGAAGGAACACTGGCATTGGTTATAATTAATTCAACTAAATCCATAACAATGTCGCGAGTCACAATAAAATAAAAAGCAGTAAAGAGTTTAATTATTATAAATTTATTCTTGTGAAATTAAATAACATTTCGAAAATATGGTATAAAAGACAATGAGATCGCCAATTAAAAAGAAATATTCCATTTAAGAGCATTGGTATAAAGCTAAATGGTACAGAATATAATAATTTACTGAAAAAATAATTTGTAGCTGATAGGATGTCATAAAAATAATGTACATAACAGAACCATCTTCAATCTTAGATGAGGCCTAACTAGATGCATAAATTTATTTTAAGTGTTAAGAAGAATGTTGTTTCACAATGTATTCATTATGATTTCCTCCGGTATCGTGGAGGCGTTTACATACCTACATTGCACATAGATAAACATCCAGGCCCAGAACAAATATTTGTAGGCCATGTAAACACTTGCTATGTGCGGGATTCGAACCCGCGGCCATCAGCATCGTAACTCAATCCCTAGTCACTGCTCTACGGAGTCATTTCACTATGAAAATGCATAAATGTCTTTCTATAAATCTTTTTCAGCAATTTCTAAATGTTTCGCGTAGAACGATGGCGTATTTTTACTATTTTAAAGGGTAAAGATGAAAGTTATTTGAAATATTCACTTTTAAGAATTACAGAACCAAAAAAATGATTAACACAATGAAAGTACCTAATATGTTCTTCTAGCACCTAAATGAATATTTATTTATTTAGCCATGTCACTCGAGACTAACATTTTCCATCAATCTAACTACAATCAACATGACACCTTAAAGTCTACTTCGTAAACTTCACATTCTTAAATTAATATAATTATTCAGGCAAGTGAAGCAATAAATAAATCTTAAACTACTAACAAACACGCTATTCGAATACAATCTTACAATTTGGTAGTAGATCTTATAAAAGAAAAATAACTATAAGAAAAAATTGTAAACATCAATCGAAAACCAAAGGAAACGGGACTGCCCTAATTTGATCATTATAATTTTTTACAGTAATGCTCAATGCACAAGCAACATTTTTTCATAAACATACAGGTTTTCAGAAAATATATTAAAGAAAGTTTTAACTTTTTGCTGTATTTGACCACCAAATATTTAAGAATAAATGATACAAACAAATATTAATCAATAATTCATCATAATTATTACAGCCCACTAAAATTCCCCTGCTGAAGGCTTAGTATGAGAGTATTTGCCATAGTTCCCATGCTTAACAGGTAGGTTGGCAACTTCATTTTTTTATTATTTTCTTAGTTTTCTTCTGGTCGGGATATATATAAATACAAAAAATAGATAACATATGATACAAATAAACAAAATACAACAGAATTAACACACTATAAAAATGTATAAAGTCTAACCAGTGGAAGAACTCAGCAGGGGAGCCCAAACGGCTGATGGTTAGAACGAGAGGAAAAGTATAATAATAATTATTTATATATTAATTAGGTAAATGCTGCTGCCCATCTACTGTTTCATTACTTTGTGCCGCCCCACGACTAAAAAAGTACTCTGTGGTCGTCCCTTAAGACATCCATGGGAACGGTACGATAAGGCATAGTATTCATTTTCTTAAGCCACTGCTACTCGGCAAATGATAATGTGTGACTTGATAAAATCCTATTACTCAAGTTTATAATATTATATTAACTGCAAAATATGTCACCTTTTCATTGGGAATATTTTACTATATCTATTAAACCAATTTTTTAAAACTAGACTATCACAATCATTAACAACCACTAACGTACTTCAACACTGACATCTAAACTATTGCAGTCTAACTTGATTTATTATTTACTAGAAATGGGGTATATTTCATGCTGTATGTGAATGGGCGAGAATATAGTAGGAAAAGTGGTAGCTGCATAACAAAATCCTTTACCTGATTTTAACCAGTGGGTGTTTTAGGAGACAACTAATAATGAAATGGCGGAAAAATATTATGGTGTTTGATAGATGGTGATATAAGCTTCCTGTTGATGAGGCAGCAAGGGTGGAGTGAGTGCAAATCTTTGAAGTATTTCCCAAGGTGGCCTCCATTTGTTTTGTTGCTTTTTTATTATTGAAATGTCTTTTTTTAGAGACACTAAAAAAATGTAGAATTAGATTCTCCTATTCACTTGAAAATTAATCCTATCTACTAGGAAAACTATATACACATCCTAAATAAATATACTACTTAAATTTTATAATGATAGTATTCATATTTGTTATTCTTGTGATAATTATTTTGAATATGCCGTAAGAAATGGAAGTTCATTTAACTGGAATGTTGCATCAATGATTTAATAAAAATTCTCCTAACAATAAGGTTTTTGGATTTAAACATTTAATTAGATAATACACATTTTAGGTAGATTATTTCTATATAACTTGTCACATAATATTAATTAACAGTTATAAAAATTACATTGATGTCACAATGTATCAACTTTAAGTATTTATTATGTTTCAATTCTGTTTCCCTGTATACATGTGATAGTTTGTGATGCTAATTGGCTAAAAAGGTACATAATATTATTTTGTTATAAGCCTTCTAATAATTAAACTGTTATGGCAAGTCTAGCAATTTTAAAGACATCAATATAGTTCCCAATAAATAGTTCTTAATATAAAACTCTTTATATTAATTTTTTATTCTTTTGTATCTGTCAATGTCTTAAATTTGTGTCATATAATTTGTCGATTTGAAATAAAATTTTATTTCTGGAATCTTAGTAATTCGTTTTTATAATTATCAGGTAAATTTATAAACTATTCAACAATTTTCATTTCTTTCCACAATTGCCAATTCATCATCTTCACCAGAAGTATTAGTTTTTGTATCAAATTGAGCAAGATTAGCTTCTGATGAGCCATTGCTGGATTCATGTGATCTTGGACTAATGCTTGTTTTTCTGGCATATAGCACATTTGAACTCACCGTTATGTTGTGATCACTAGTGAACGCTACACCATAATTACTGCCATCTGATATTCTGTTCAACTTGTGTATTTGCTCTCTCAGCTCACAGACTTGACTGTACAGTTTTTTATTTTCACGTAAAATTGCTATGTTCTCAGTCTCCAAAAGTTCCCTCTTACTCCACTGTATTGTATTCTCAGATTTTAATCTTTCAATTTCCATTTTTAATTCAGCAATTTTTTCCTCCAACACTTGTTTAGCTGCTATCTCATCTTGCAGTTCATTTTGCAGTCTCTCAATCTCACTATGACTAGAATCTGTAGATCCTAATGTTCTATCACTATGTGTGAGTTCCATTTTTGTATTATGTAATTCTGCTGTTAATGTTTCTATTTTTGTTATTAATAAGGCTTTCTGATCCTTTTCACTCTGCAAGTTTTTACTTGTTTCGTCTAATCGCAATCTCAAATCACTAAGTTTGTTTGCAAGAACATTATCAACATTAGAAAACTTATGAGAGTCTAGAGAAGCTCTTTGTCTCATTGATGGTTCATTAGGAGACACATAACCAACATTCTTCCTCCTCAGCTCCACTCCATCTTCAGATGTTAGATCTCCTGATAATATTCTACTCTCACCAATACTCAGAAGTTTTTCATTATCTTTTTTCAATTCTGATAACTGATGTTCCATATCATTTTTTTCAGTTCTTAATGTTGTTAGTTCTTTTGTAAGTATGTCAACCTTGTTTTTTAGCTGCTTTGCTTCTTCTCTAGCTTTATTACGTTCGTTGCGTACTTTAGACCACTTCTCCCGCCAGTTTGCGGTGCAGTCAGACCACCAGCGCATTGTTTTCTCCATTTGTGATGCTCTAGCGCGAGCTTCGTCCAACTCCCGCTGGTAGAGAGCTTCCTTTGCCTCCCAATCTGTATTTGTATATCGCATTGTCCCTTCGTGATCTCTATGCCGCCGATGGCTTCCCCCATGTGAACTTTGAGCCATTTTTCATTTGCTAAAATAAGGTTAAAAATTAGCATAATAGATGAATGAATGTCAGAGTGAACACAAAGTAAAATGTTCAACATTCTTAATACATTTCAAAACACATTTATTTACTCAATGCAACCAAATTCATGTTTTTTCCAGGATTATGAATCCTAAACGTCCAGATCCCAATCCTGACCCCTGCCCTCAAGTATGTAAGCCACCTCCACCATCTCAACCTGCATGTCTTGTAAAACCAGTCATGCGAGGTTTGCATCGAGCTCAGACTAAGCGCGTTTTGACTCAAGCTATATTATTGTCAATTTTAAGTGGTGCATCATATTACTTTTTTGTGGGTGCACCAAGAAAACAAAAATATAAAGAATTTTATGCGTAAGTAAACTTTAGTACTTTATCTTTTTTTACCAATTTCCGCCAAATAATTAGTATTTTTAGTATTATATAGTATATAATTATTTCCAGTGGTATATTCACAAACCTTGAGTGTAATGGGGTTTGTGATTATTCTTTTTATTAAAACTTATAACACAATTGTGAACATTGAATTTAGATTAGACTTGTACTAATCACTGTGTGCTTGCGAAACACAAAAAATAACTCCTCTTTTGAGCAACCTATTATAAACAAACAATTCTAAAAACATTTAATAATTAAGCGAAAGTCAGCACTCATAGTAATACTAGAAGATATTTATATGTGGTAGAGCCATGCTGCAGTTATATTAGTAGTATAGTGATAACATGAATGGGTCGGCGCGACTAAGGAAGGAACACGCTCTCACAGGATACCAGCATAAAGTAGTAGCTTAATGCTGATGTGTTTCGTATGGTAAGTATAGAGAACCGGAGACCCTTATTATTGGAAACGAGGCATTCCATCTTAGTCCTCATGGGTGACACGCATTTGCATTTTGATTCTTATCGAGGATAGATGTAGATGTCTATGGGCCGCAGCAACCGCTTACCATCAGGTGGGCTGTGTGCTCATTTGTCACCCTATCCTATAAAAAAATGAAAATAAATCCTTTTTGCCAAAAAGTACATAAGAATGCACAACTGCTTTAACTTTGTAGCAGCATACTGAGGTATTTATTACATTTTAGTCCTTTTTTTATGGATTAAAAGTGGTTACAGGTACCCAAAAGTTGCAGAAGATACTTTTCATCACAGGGTGTGTTATATGGTTTATCACTTAAAATACTAGCTTGGTACTGTGTACTATACTAGTAGGTACAACACAAAACTGTGTGTCACATTTTAATGCAAAATCTTTGTTAGTTCATTGAATGAAACAGTTAATCATGAAGAAAATTTCAGTTTTTAGACAACATGAACTTTACACATTGATAATGTTGCTAATAGAACAGGCAAAATGTGTGAAATTTGAGCCATAAATGGAGTATCCTTAGTAAAAATTTTTGACCTCATAACTATTACTTTTTAGAATATAGGGTGACCTACGAGCTCACAGTCCACCAGATGGTAAGTGGATGGTATGCGATTATGAATAAAAACTCAGATGTGTTGTCACCCCTAAAGGACTGGGAATATCTTGTTTCCAGTAAAAAGGGTCTGGTTCGCAGCACTCAACATATGAAACACAGCAGCACTGTGCTGCTATTTCACACTGGTATTCTGCGAGAGTGTACACCTTCTCCGATCGAGCTGAAACATTAGTGCTGTAACCATTATATAGCAGGCTGCAGAATGGCTGTACCACATCTATTTATGATTGTATTTGTATATATAAAACTATATAGTATGTGTTCTCAATGCATGTAAAACGTTTCCAAGATACAGAAACTACAAGTGTAGAAATGACATTTTTGAAAAGTAAAAAATCTGTAATAAATGACAGGTAAAATAATTATTTAATTAAATGTCAGCTGTGCTTTTTCACGAGGAATTTATAATAAATACACAAATATCGTTAAAAAATATAAATTAAAAAATAGAATATTTAAATTCCTCACATACGTAAATGAAACTGATATTCTAAAACGAAAATAATTATAAATACCTCAATAACAACAAAATTCGATATAACTTTTTTTTGAATTTGTAAGTTTACTACACAATCACATTTACTTAGATTAGAGGCAAATAAATAAAGTGTTTGTTGTCAATTCAGCAAATAAATCTGGAGACATGATAATTTTCAGCTTCCATTAATCACCATAGACTAGGTATAAGGATCCGCAAAAATAATCGATACCTAAGTAGTATCGATAATTTTAATTCGATACCTAGTATTGTTGTATTCGATACTCATTAGAGTACTTTACCAACGATTACATATTATCGATACTTTCTTAGTTATTCTATCTTTCTCTCTTCACTAAACTGTCAGATAAAAGTCAGTAGATAGTAATTCCTTTTACGATATACTAGGTTGCACTAAAAGTATCGGGAAGGGAATATTTCCACTGTTCCTGTCATATTAAAATCTTTTTAAATGAAAACTCCTTGGTTTTAAAAATCGAATACCATTTATTTATTTAAAAAAAGATTCTAGGTCTTGTCACAAGGTTTTCTCAAACTTGTTTAGTCGTTGAGAAAATGGAATTGACTCGAGAAAATTCAGGAGCGATGATTTATTATGACTTTCGAAGTGGTTTAACACAAAAACAGTGTGTTGACCGGATGATTTCTGTATTTGGTGATGAATCCCCATCCAAAACCACAATTTATCGCTTGTTTGCTGAATTTCAACGTGGACGTGTCAAGCTCAGTGATGATCCCCGTCAAGGTCGTCCAAAAACTGCAGTCACCCAAGAAAACGTTGATGCTGTGCGTAAGCTGATTGAGGAAGATCGACATGTGACATACCGCGAAATTCAGGCAACTTTAGACATTGGCATGAGTCAAATACAAATAATTTTGCATGAACAATTACGTGTAAAAAAGCTGTTTTCCCGATGGATACCGCATTTACTCTGTGAAGAGCAAAAAGCGGCTCGCGTTACTTGGTGCGTCAAAAGTCTCGAAAGATTCCACGCAGGATCCTCAAATGCTGTATACAACATCAGGTGACGAATCCTGGATATACGTGTACGAACCCGAAACAAAAAACCAGTCACTAGTTTGGGTGCTCGAAAATGAGTTAAAGCCAACAAAAATTGTTCGTTCACGGAGTGTTGCAAAAAAAAAATGGTGGCCACGTTTGTCTCCAAAACCGGCCATGTTACGACTATTCCTCTTGATGTACAAAGAACGGTAAAGAGAACTGCAACCGCCGCATCATCCTCCATCACGACAACTCGCAGTTCTCACACCGCACACAGAACAAAAGAGTTTTTAGAGCAAGAAAACATAGAATTATTAGACCATCCGTCGTACAGCCCCGACCTAAGCCCTAATGATTTCTATACTTTCCCTAAAATAAAGAATAAATTGCGTGGACAGAGATTTTCATCACCTGAAGAAGCTGTGGACGCCTACAAAACGGCCATTTTGGAGACCCCAACTTCCGAATGGAATGGTTGCTTCAATGATTGGTTCCATCGTATGGAAAAAAGTGTCAAATTTCGCGTAGAATACTTCGAAAAGCAATAAATACATTTTTAAATAGTAATGCTGTGTCACTTCCTTGATTTCCGAAATTTTCAATGCCGCCCTCGTATCGCTGGAGTGAGGATTACGGGGGAAAACCGTATTACAGTTGGAATAATACATGTAAAAAATGTATTTATCTGGTCACATAAATACATTTTAAACATTTACTAGCAATATATCGTAATTTTGATGATTGAATATTATATAATATAATGGAATCATAACACATAACATTTGGATTTAAATTTGTTTCATTTGTGTTTATGTTGTTTAACTAAAGTCTACATATCAGTCGTAAATAATCAGAGTAGAAGAATATTTTGCTAAGAAATTTATCAATAATTATTATAATTTAATGGCAATATTAACTGATTGTGTGTTAAGTGCGTCATCGAAACGAAAAAATTTATAAAAGTGAATTTTATTATTTTTAACTGCTGATTCAGGTGCTCTTCTTCAGACTGCAACCTCCTGTCGGAGGACTAAGCGATATGTGAAAATATTTTAATAAAGTTTGTCAAAAATCAGCGAAATGTAAAATTATTTTAAAGTTATGAAGTTTCGCGGTAGTACTTCTAACTCTAAAAAACAGAAATAAGTAAAATTAAACAAAATAATAAGATTATAATCAATTGGGTGTATTCTTACCAAAATAAATAACCTGTTGAAAAATCTTAATAGATCCTAATAAAATACAATGTTTGATAGGAAGTTATGATAAACTATTGTGTTTTTGAAACAGCAATTCCAGATACTTACTCATTGAAAATAGTAATAATGAATTCATTGGATTTTATCCGGTACGTGAACAAAAATCGGATTATGTCATTATTGCTAATTGATTATGATCCAGAACTGCGATACTAGAATGTATCGATGAAGTGAATTAGGTTCTATCAAGGATGTGAGGATTATGATCAGAAAAATGGAGGGAAAAACAAAATAAAGTATCGGCAGTTCCGACTTATTGTTTTGGTAAAGAGATTACTAATGAGTTCATAATGGTTTTTATGAGAATTTATCAGTTAAATAATTTATCAGATAATCCGAATCAGAAGACGATCAGATTGTATGGGGTTGATCGAAATACAGATTTTTAGTTTAAAACGGTAATTGCGGATAAAGTTATTCTTTTTAGTTCGTAGTAATATATATTAAATAGAAAATAACGCAGCTTATAAGAATCTATGTAAAGGTAGTAAAAATGTTCAGGTAATTCGTAGAAAAAAACGATCAGATTAATTACTTTGGTCCAAACACATTATTTTCCATGTACTGTTTAAAAATAGTAATTATTTTATAAGCTACTTTTCATGTCAGATTGCGATGTACAAGATTGGTGATTTAGTAATTAGTTGTTAGTTCCTATATTTTGTAACATAATTTTAAATGAATATAAAATTTAATCATTATTGTGTATTTTAATGTGATTTCTAATGTTTT